TGAAATATTCAGATGTTTTACAGAAATTGTGTTATTAGTTCGATGACTAATATTAAGATCTTTGCTTGATTCCCTTTTTACCGTTTCTAAAGAGTCATCATGGGTGTATTTCCCAAAAGTAAATCCAGAATTGTTGGATATATCCTTAGATCTGCCATTATTGAAAATGCGATTTTGATTGTCTTCATTGTTATCTTCCATCAAATTACCGGAAGTCCTAGTCAAAGATTCAAGAGAATTAAAGATGGGAGGCTTAATCCTTTGAAGCAGTTCGCTTCTTTCAACAGAGTTTAATTTGTTGTTATTGCACTTATGATTTTGGGGTTCAATTACTTTAGTACGAATACGTTTGTCTATATCCAAGCTGCTGTTAATTAATTTATGGTTTTCAAGATTTTGTCCAGACAAAATTGAAACCTGCACGTCAGTGTTGTTTCTTGAATTGGTTTTGGTATAATTCCGTGGTGAAGTTTGTTCTCTACCAATCAAAGACGTATTCACATCTGGGATCAAAGAATACGTTTTAGTCTTAACACGTTCAGAATCATCTTCTTTTTCCCCGTTTTCAAAACGCAGAGAAATTCTTTGCGAGAAATCCAAGATTTTCTTATTTCGTATAGTTCCATTTCGATGATCAATTACTTTTGGAATTACATTATTTTGTGTCTGTCTTAAAACCTCTTCTGGTAAAAGATTCTTTTGTGGGTTTTGATTATAATTCCGATGCTTTTGGTGAATACGATCCATTTTAGTCGGATTGGTTGCCATAAGATGCCATGGACGATGCTTACGTTTTTTGTGATACTGACTTTTCAGAAAATTCCTCCCATTTTTCTGCTTGTTTAGCCACAGGCAGAGGCGACAACCTCTCCAAGGGAGTACATTTTGGTGCGTTTCTCTCATCGCAGAAATCGAACTTTTTTTATTGCCAACAGACGCGTTAGAGAATTTCTTCTTGTTAATTAAATCATAAGTTAAGGGGAATATATTAGATTTTTTCGGACGATTTTTCCTTCCCGGAGTATAATACTTTTTGAAATAATTATCTTTTTTTTGATTTTGTAAAAATCTCAATTGTTCTGTTTTTTCAACATTAGACTTTACCGAATTTGTTTTGCTCCCTTCAACAATAATTTTTTTCGATGGAAACTTTCCTGGTGTCAAAGACTTGAGAGTTGCTATTTTCGAATATGTTGCCGGTTCCTGGTAAGAAAATTTTGAACTTTGGGTTCGTACTTTCTTTGTCGCAATTCCTTCGGCTGCACTATAATCATCCCCGATATCAACGTCGTATTTTCTGCCAGGAATTTCCGAAGTTTGTCCCCGACGTAAGCGTGAAGTCCGGCGCCAAGATGACAAGGAGGAGGATGTCGAAGAGAAAGGCTGTTTGGAAGCGGAATTATTTGCGTCGGGTTGAACAGCTTGCGATGAATTTTTAACTGTGCCCAAGCCAGCTGATGATGTGTTGACTTCTGGTGGTAGAGACTGCATTTTAGAGGCGAGTGAGTCAACATGAGAAAAACTACTTCCGGTAAGTAACGTCCCAACGTTTTCAGCGCCCTCGGATTTCCCGCCATGACTAATGTTGATGTAAATAGTACTCTCCAAATCCCCGACTTTGTTTACAAGACTATCCAATAACGAAGTGTTTGTAGCGGCATTCGATATACTAATAATAGTACTTGTACTATTTGTAGTAATAGGTAAATTGCTGGTAACTTTTTTATTAATGGTAGTTTTCCTTTCGGGTGGAATTTTAATGTTTGTCGGTGGTGACTTTGTTGTTGTTGGTGAAGCTGTTTCCTGGACTGGCGAAAATGTTTCGTTTGTTGAATTCGGCTGAGTAATAGATGTAGGAATATGCATAGTACTGTTTTTTAATGCAGTTGTTGTTGTTGTTTGTGATGGTGATTTTGAAACAGCAGCAGCAGCAGCTGGAGTGATATTTGTAGAAAAAGAATCCACACTTGTATTATTAGTAGACACGGAAAAAACAATTCCAGTAGTTTTATCGTTTACAACTTGAAAGTCCGACGTCTCGCTAAGAAAACCCGGCACAGTCTCTGCCACCACCGTCATTGCCGTTCGGGTATCGGTACTGGCGGAGGCAGTGGTGGCGAGGGTCGTGTTTGTGGTGTTCGTATGTGAAATGTTTGCTGTCGTCGAATTTAAAGTTATCATAATTGTCAATGCCACATGTGCCAGTGTGCGAATCTTTAAATGGGAGTACATCTTTAGGCTACCAAAGGTTATAGGGCATCACAATTTTTTTTTTCTGGGGAGGGGGTGGGGATGACAAAGGTCGATATTAATAATAATAATAATAAAAAATTAAGAAAACAATATTCATCAAATAAACAAACACGCTTTCTTTCACTCTTACTATCATTAACATACACAGGCAAAATGACCGCACATACAACTACGATTAAACAGACATACACACACACACATGCGTGTGGTGCTCACGGTTGTATAACGCACTGTTATTCGCCCGGTTCCCTCGCTCGCTGTGTGAGTTTTTGCCCGTAAAAACGCCTGCTCTGGTCGACGGTGCCTCCACATGTTGTTTCCAAATGTTCTTCTACATTCTTTATAACATAGGCGCGCACACACGCATGCATATATGGCAAAAGTCCGATAGGTATACATACATATATATATATATATATATATATATATATATATATATGTAACTTTACAGTTTGTGTTACCACTCCCACCATTTTCTTCATTCCCTCCTCCCTCCTTTAACTCATTGTTTCTTTCTTTCACTTTCTCTCGAGTCTTTTTTTTTTTCTCGGGTTATTCACCCCCCCCTTACTTTCTCCTTCCCGGTTTATCTGTTTTATGTTTTGGGTGGGGTTTGATTTGTCGCCCCACCCCACACCGTCACGTCTTCCCGCCTTATCCCTTGTCTTTCTCTTTTTATTTACCCCCCTCTCTGACACTTTTTCGTTTGTCCAGTTCTCTTCCGTTTTTTTGTTTTGTTTTGTTTTTGTCTTCTATTTTTCATACCTCTCCCTCTTTCGTTTCCCACTCTCTCTGTTGCACGCTTTCTTTCTCTTTCACCTTTTTTTTTTAACCCACCACTCATGAAACCTCTTTATCCACCTCTCCATATCTCTTAATAATTACTATCTCTTTCTTTCCCTCCTCTTGTTTATTTATTTTCTTATTGCGACCTTCTCTCTCATCATTATCTCTCTTTCTCTTTCACTCTATCAATATCTTCTTTTTTTTTTTCTTCTCACTCTCTTCCTCTCCACTCCTTTTCTCCGGACAAATGCACAATCGGACAACGTTGACGGTCAGTGTTTCTGAATATCACAAATGCTTCTCGCTTGAATACATGCTTTTCAAATATCTACTACTACTATTACTACTACTACTATTACTATTACTACTACTACATCTACCTTTAAATGTGGCGACTTTTACTACTACTTCCACAACCTCCGCCGCTGCCACCACCACCAACAACAACAACAACTTGCATGTTAATTACGTACTTTTTCCCTAATTCTTTTCGTCCTTGTTTTTATATTTCTCATTTTTGTCACTTTATTTTTCATCCATTTAGGTCTTTCTTGTTCATCTCTAATCAGTGTCCCGACATCAATATCTTTTTTTCTCGCTTTACAATTCTTTATTTTGACACCCCACCCACCGTCAGCTGAAATTTCCTTTCATTCTTTACAGACTCTCAAATTTGCATTGTTTTCTTCCTTTCTCTCCTTTTCTTCTCTCTCTCTCTCTCTCTCTCTTCCTCTCTCTTTACACTCCTTTGCTTCTTTTTCATTTCTTTCTTTTCACCTTTTTATTTTCTCGTCTTTCTTGGTTTCTTTACGCACTCTTTTTGACTGTTGCGTTTATTTTTTAAAATTTTTTCCTGCTTCTGAATTTTTCTTTCATTCTTTCTTTCATAGCCCCTTTTATTTTACTTTATTTTCTACTTTATTTATTTATATCTTTCTTTCTGTTCTCTTTTCCTTCTTTCTTTTCTTTTTCTGTTTTTTTTTTCTTTTTCATCTTTCCTTTTCCTTCTATTCCGTTGCGTTCTGTCTCCATTTCTTTCCTTCTTTTTCTTTCTTGCTTGATTTTCCTTCTTTTCCTTTCCTCTTTCTCTCTTTCTTTTTTTTCTTTCTCCCCCCTCTCTCTCTCTTATCTTTTGCTATTCTTTCTTGATTTCTTTCTCCCCCCTCTCTCTCTCTCTTATCTTTCTTTTTCTTTTCTTCCTGGTTATATCTATTCCATTCCTATTTATTTATTTCAACTACCATCTTAATTCCTTCTGTTTTTTTTTTTCTTTTCTTTCTCTTTCGTCTCCGTCCTAACTGGCCACCTAGTGTGATACTTACCACTTTATAATATCTCACCTTTCTTGGCCCGACCCCCCTCCTAATTCGTCTATAACGCCCCTTCGCCAGTTCCATCGTCGCCTCTTTCACCTTTTTAACGCCCCTTTCCTTTTTAAAGCACACTCCCCACTTTGTATGTATTTTTCCTCCCTTTCGCTTCTCCCTCCCTCCACGAATAACTCATTTTCGAGGTATATCTTAAGTGCCCACCTTCGGAAGCACCCCCCCACCACCACCACCTATCAGACGCAGTTATCCTCCCTGTTTCTCACCCTTCCCGCCACCACATTTTAAATCGGACAGTCACGTGACCCTCTACCGCAAAGTGTTACATGCGCACAGACAGACAGACAAACAGACACGTGCAAATGTTTGTATCCAATGACTGGCGATTTCTCTTGCAAATAGATAGATAGATATTGAAAAGAATTAGATAGATAGATAGATAGATAGATAGATAGATAGATAGATAGATAGATAGATAGATAGATAGATAGATAGATATGAACAGATTTAGATAGATATGGACAGACTTAGATAGATAGATAGATAGATAGATAGATAGATAGATAGATAGATAGATAGATAGATAGATAGATAGATAGATAGATAGATAGATAGATAGATAGATAGATAGATAGAAAGAATTAAGGAAAAAAATAAAGAATGCATTAATGAGAAAGACGGAAAGAAAGAAGTGCTCAAATGTATGTATAAGAAAGGAAGAAAAAAGAAAGAAATAAAGAAACAAGTTGATTGAATGAGAAAGCAAGAAAGAATTAAATTAATAATGCATTAATAACAACGAAAGAAGTTATCGAATGTATGACACAAACAGACAGATAGATAGATAGATAGATAGATAGATAGATAGATAGATAGATAGATAGATGGATGGATAGATAGATAGATAGATAGATAGATAGATAGATAGATAGAAACTGATTAAATGAGACAGAAAGGAAGAATGAAAAAGAAAGTAAGAAGAAAACAAAGAATGCATTAATAAAAAAATAAACTTATTAAATGAGAAAAAGAACTGGCTGAATAAGAAAGAAAGAAAGAAAGAAAGAAAGTATCAATGAAAGAAAGAAAGAATCAATGAAAAAAAAAGAAAGAAAGAATGAATTCAATGAAAAAAAAGAAAGAAAGAAAAGAAAGAAAGAAAGAAAGAAAGAAAGTATCAATGAAAAAAAAAGAAAGAAAGAATGAATTCATTATTAAGAAAGAAAGAAAGAAAGAAAGAAAGTATCAATGAAAAAAAAGAAAGAAAGAATGAATTCATTATTAAGAAAGAAAGAAAGAAAGAAAGAAAGAAAGAAAGAAAGAAAGGGCCTAAGTTAGCAGAAGAATATTCCCTGCATTATTTATATTTTCACTCAGGTGCACCAGCTACAATTGAACAAATTAACAACGTAGAACATTTACCGGCCACAGCAGCGCGTGATAATTTGGGACAATTGGTGACAAGTTCTAATGTTTTGGGGACGGCAGTGGTGGTGGCGTTGTTGTTGTTGTTTCCACAACTGCCCCAGTTCGGTAGAGTTTGAAAAAAAAAATGAACAATAGTCAAGAAAAATATCTTTTATTTCGAACGGCTAGGTGTAAGTCGAGTTAACCAATCAGATGATTTTTTTCTCAGGACATTAAAAATCATTGTTTGTAAATAAACAATAATAAACACCTTGTTCTAAATAAGACGTCACTGAATTATGAACAAAATAAATAAATTTCTATTATCCGCAATTTTCTCTCCATCGTTTCACTTACCCGCAACGAACCTCAAAAATAAACAGTTACTCGTCTCAGAGCCTAAGAATATCGATGCTGACAATTTGAAATATTCCAAAGATAAGGCGAAAAGTATTCATGTTTTCTAAAAAGTTGAAATCTCTCGACAATAAGAAAAGGGAAAATCGTACGATCAGGTGGAGAAATTCTGTAATATAACCTCCATTAAAGGATATTGAATTTATTTGATTTTCACCCTCTATGAGGCCCGAGTGCCATTCAAGGTAGAGGGTTACAGAGTAAGAGATACTACTTATGGGGATATTTATGGAATATAACGGTTAACAGTGTTTCTCAGGCTTTTTAAGCAACGGCACACCCAGGAGCAAATGAAAATATCACGGCACACTTAGCAAGATTGTACATTTAGATGTTATGAAATAAAAACATAGATCTAAAACTCACATAAATATGAACTTACTTTATTTCAATGATTTTATTCAATTATTTGTGCAGCTTATGTAGTGTGAAACATGTGCCGGGTGTTTTTTCACAATTTCGTGACAATATTTCGCGGCACAGTTGTGGATCGGGCGATACAGCAATTGAGACTCATTGGGTTAACCCTAGACTTGAGCAGGTTAAGATAGTAGTGGTCAGGCAAGGAGTCTCTTGGGAGTCGGTTCCACAATGTAGTGGTTCATGAGGAGAAACTGCTTGAGTAGAACTTGCATCTCACTTGGGGAATATGAACGAAATGATAAGGGGCTGTTCGCTACAATGTGCGTGGCATAGACGGTCTTAGCTGTGAAGGTTTCGAATGGTGGCACTAAGGAGGGTAGTTCGGAACATTCACCATGGAAATAGCCATAGAGCAGCGAGAGGCATGCAATGTCTCCTCTGTGAGAAAGGGGTATCGTTATAATTGTCTTATATGATTGTGTTCTTTATCATATTATGCCTAATTGAACTATATAATAGTGATTTATATATAAGAAAAATGTAGTATGTATAGTGTTCGGCTTCAGGAATAAGCTGGGGGCGTTGATTTACATCCCTGGCGGAATTCCAATTATTATTATTATTATTATTATAAGAGAGTATAATAAGAACATTTTGAAATCGCTACAAAACCCTTTTATGTTTCAATACTATAATTGTACTTCTTCAGGCAACGGCAAATAACTGTTGATTAAATGACTTTTAAGGATATTTAAAAACAAAATATTACCTCTTTACCGAAAGTTAAAGGTGGAGGTTTAAGGTCAGAATTAAAAATAAATTTGATTAATTGGTTAATCAAGACATACCCACAAGTCTATTTTTAATTCTGACCTTATGCGCCCTATTTAATTTTCGGAAAAGAGGTAACACTTTGTTTTAAAATTTCCTTAAAAATCATTTAATCACCAGTTACTTACCATCGCCTGAAGAAGTACAATCAAAGTATTGAAACATGAAAGCTTTTGTGTAGTGATTTCAACAGGTTTTCATTATAATCTCTTATAATAAAAATATAATAATAATATATTTCTCTACTTTGTATTGAGTACTTCTTAAGAAATAAATGCTACGAACAGTGGGTTTCTCTCTCTCTCACACACACACACACACACATATATATATATATATATATATATATATATATATATATATATATATATATATATATATAATGTAAATGGGCAACAATCCCTATTTTATGCAAGTTTCGTTGAAAATGACTAACAGGGTGTGATGGTTGATTTTTTTTTTTATATAATTTCTCATGTGTCCGTATATATTTTCCTTTCAGAACGTAAATTATATAAAAATTGTTCGAATGTTTCCAAGCGCTTTTGGCTACACTTTTAGCCATTATCAAGGATGAATTTTATTTTACTTTTAACTGAATATATGCATTGCTTTATGTATGTATGTAGAGTTATAGGAATGTTTTATTCACCAAAAAGGATTAGCACCTGGTTGCTGTGTTCAGAGTTGTTGTTACTGAGTGTTAGCTTTTGTTCTTTTTTATTAATAATGCTTCCATTATTTTTAGCATTTTGTACATGTGTATGATGCCATTATTATTTGTATTATCAACGATAACCTAATTGAGCCTGAGAGATGTAACACTAGTCTTTTTGTTAAACATGTTTTATATCTAATGTAATTTGAATTGGTCAGGAACACATCTCCTTAAGGAACATGTCAATTCGTAAATAATAATGGTTTTCAGTAATGTAGATCTTGCAGGTGAATTACTATTTTTGACGACGAGGTTAGTGGTTTTAAATTTTTTGCAATGAATAATTAATTCAATTCTCTTGTTTTGGTCGACTGGCGTTGTGTATTTCTTTAGGGTGTTTCTAAATAAAGATTCATCTTGCTTATTGTTACAATGCATTTTATTTTTGTACAAAAATCAAAATAACAGAAATTATATGCAACTTCTATGTTGCATCTGATTTTAGTTACATCTCTTTTACCTTAGCTCAATTTAAATACACATGGAGACCTACCAAATTCTATTCATAATATACTTATATAACCAACGCCTTTATCCACTGGGCCATGTATATATACTTTATTAATCAATTGTTGATTTAAGTTTTATATATATATATATATATATATATATATATATGTGTGTGTGTGTGTGTGTGTGTGTGTGTGTGTGTGTGTGTGTGTGAGTGTCGTTTTGGAATTTCCCATTAGTAACAGGTGTTGGTGTTAGAACAAAGGTAAAAAAATTAACATCAGGAGTTGGAATGCTGATTTTCAAGGCCTCGATTTATTTACTCAAAAGATTGGTGCAACACAATCTTTCTTATTACTTTGCTCTTCGAAACAAAATTAAATATAATTTAAATTTTTTGTGTGTGTGTGTGTGTGTGTCTATAGCATGGTGTGTGCACGCTATTGGACGTTTGTGTGTGTAGCAGTACCTGTGAAGATGTGAATAGATATGTCAATATATGTGCGTGCGTGTGAATGTAGTGCTTTCTCTCTCCCCCTCTTTCTCCTCAACTCTCTCTCCCTCTCTCTCACTCTCTCTCTCATTCTCTCTCACTCTCTCTCTTTGTTTGCGTGTGTGTGCGTTTGTAGGGTTGAAATATTAAACTTCTTTCATTAAATAATTTCTCATAAAATGAAATACCAATGGAATAATGAACGTATATAAATTTAATTGCTAGAAATTACGAAAATCAAAAAGAAATGAAAGCAGTAATACATAATTATATATATATATATATATATATATATATATATATATATATATATATATATGTGTGTGTGTGTGTGTGTGTGTGTGTGTGTACATTTATATAATATGTATATATGTACATTTATATAATATATATATATTAATAAATATACATTTCCTCACAGTTTCATGCACAACGCAATATTTACCTGAAGATTGCGTTGTGAATGAAACTCCTGAGTCGTGCTGCCGGTGAGAAAATAAATGTATAGTTGTTAATATATAATTTATAGCTCTGTTATATTACAAGCACTATTTTATTAATACAAGCAGTTAATGGGCGATATTATACATTGATATATATATATATATA